GGACAAAGTTTGTGTTTTTTCCATTGTTTAAGCACTGCTTCCAGCCAAGAGTGATACCATATATGCCCTATAGCTGCAGGGGATAACCCTTTTTATAAAAAATAGCTGAACATGAGAGGTTTTTGGACAAAGTTTGTGTTCTTGATTCTTTAAGCACCGGCACCGTTTCAAAAGTACCGGTTTGGCACTGGCATCAGATAAAACCTAAACGATACCCATCCCTAGTAATGAGGATGAGAAAAACAAATGAGCCTCAGCTCTGTGCACATGCTCAGTGTCTTTATGTGTGATTGAAAGTTTCTGCCTTAGTATGTTATGCTTTAGGTGTAATTTAGGTGAACAAAAAGTGTTAGGTAAATTCACACACCATTACACCAGTGACACAAAGCAGGTGGGGTCAATGTTGTCATGCTGTTTACCCTAAATTCTGACCCTACCTCTGAATGTTTCAGCACAAATTGAGAATCATCAAACCAGGAAACATTTTTTCAGGTTCTGTGAATTGTAAATCTCAGTCTCCTGCTTGGATGACAGGAGTGACACCTGGTGTGGTCTTCTGCTGCTGCAGCTCATCTGCTTTAAGGTTCAACATGCTGTGCACTCAGTTATGGTCTTCTGCATACCAGTGGATGCTTGACTTGTTTTTGTCTTTCTAACAGCGGTCTGGCCGTTCTCCTTTAAACTCTGAAATCAGCACGGTGTTTCTTCCACAGAGAATTACTGCTCACTGGATATTCTCTAGATTCTTTTTCTGACCATTCTCTGTAAACTGTAGATCAGCATTTTCTGAAATACTCAGAACAGCCAGTCTGACACCAAAAACTATTCATGTTCACTTAAATCACATTGCTTCCCCCATTGTGACATTCAGTTTTAATTTCAGGAGGTCATGTTCATCATGTCTCTATATATCAAGCTATATAACATATAGAGCTGTAGCTATATAAAAGCTTCTTACCTGCTGATCAGACACGTTTTGCCAACTGCAACATCACCCACGACGATGACCTTAGCAACATTAAAGCTGAGAACAGAAATCCACAACTGTCAGCATTCACTCAACATCATGAAAATACACAGCAGGGTATTCCACAGCATGGAGAAATCACTCAAACATTTAATTACATAAATACTTGATATGTTGGAAGCATTGGGAATTTAGTAAAGTGAAATGAAGACTTAATTTAAGGAGTTCTGCATCACTGCCTCAGTAATGCAGGAATTACAGCTATTTTTATGCATGCCCCCCCTTACTGTATTTACGTGAGACTAGTTTGTTCAGATTTACTTCTTTACGAGGAGTAAACATCTAAGCAAAGTCAATGGTTTTGGGCTTTTTAAAAGCCCAAAAGTGGCTTTTTACAAACCACTTTAAAAAAAAAGTGGTTTGTAAAAATAAATGCCATTAGCCTTTTCTTTAAAAACACCACCAACAGAAAGTGGTCAGATGTGGCAGGAGCGTCAGCTGACACAGTCAGTCTAATGTGATTTAGAAGACCAAATTAATCAGAAACTCATTAATATAATTTAAACCCACAGTGTAGAGATGTGTGTAGTAGCATGATGGGAGGCTGAGAGTGTTTATTAATCCTTATGTGACCTTACCTCACTGTGTCTGCTTTCTGGACCTGGCATGCAGCCTTCACGTGCGGGTGGAAGCCTTCTTTGGTGTGCAG